GGATCTATTTTTTTTATTTTTTTTAAATTTCAATATTTTTATTACTTCAATAATAAAAATATACCAACATGGTGATATAGATAGGACTTTGGTTCTTAACGGTTTGTTATAATTTTTTTGTCGAACAAAACAATAAATAATAACAAAATATTTATAGCATAACTGATAGTAYAACTAAATAAATATATTAAAATAGGTATAAAACTGAGTTCGTTAAAAAAATAAACCATTTATTATATTAAACTATCGGTGATGATGTAGTTTTTTTTGTTTGTACTTAAAACTGAATTTTTTTTCAAAATAACATTTTGATGGGTAGAACGATGAATATATTGATTTTACAATGTGTGTCCGTCATCACCTTTTGAAGCAGAAAAAACTTTGATTTTCAGCTTTGATGTTTCAATAAGCCRACTCTAGTAGTAAATTTGAAAAAATCGGGAATTATCAGAGGAAAAGGGGGAAAAAATCACTAGAACAATTCCAATAAATTCTATTAATTTGCTTAAATTTTTGAAATGCAGTTTCACCTAACTTAAATATCAAAAAACCCTATATTTTTAGTTCTCTTATTAATATTCTGATCTTTCTTTTAAGGTTCGTTTTTAATTTAGCATGTATAGCAATCTGTACTTCATACATTTTTTTAAATCCACATTACAATTCAAACATCTTGAGTTAACCATCGGATGATATGTACTTTGAATAGTATCCATTAGGGGCTCTCCACATATTCTTGTCAGTTGTCAATGTTTTTGCGTGAGAATGCAGAGCTTTCAAATCTGATATCTAAATCAGTCACCTGACCTATATCTTTTATCATTTGACACTAAACGTAAGCTATGATTGCCTATTGTATGTGTATAATACACTTTTATTTCGATTTTTGAGTTGAAGTTAGAGATTATAAAGGAAGAAAAATGATTCTTAGATGAGACTGTCTGTTGGCCATTATGTCTTGTCTACAAAATTATAAGTTAAAACTCTTATAGAACATATATATAATATATATATATATGGGTGTGTGTGTGTGTGTATTTTTCTAAATTATTGTAATAAAAACTCATGAGAAACCTTGTTTTATAATTTCAAGTCTCCTTACTCACAAACAACAATAGTATTGTATATAAATCTAATGACAACCAAAATAAGTTGAACATTTTAAATATAAACAGCTTAAAAAAATTCAAAATAATTTGAAGATGTCATTAAATACATAATACCTATATCTACGGTTGTTATTTTATTTTTTAAATTATAACAAAAAAATCTAACCGATTCTATTGAAAACTAGTTTTGGGTAAAAATCTTTTTTTTCGTAATTTATTATTTGCAAAAAAATTATTTTAAAAAATACTGAGAAATTTCTAATTCAACCCATTATTTGACAAAATAGATCCAATTTGCTACCAAAAACTCCTCAACGTTGATGATCGRRCTTTTAATATTTKTTTTACCATTTAAAGTGCCWTCTAAAGTTCTAAACAATACAAAATGATTATGTTAATTTAAAAAATACACATCGTTGTAAAACCAATACATTCATTGCTCTGCTCAAAATCTGATATAAATATTCAATTTTTATTGTACTAACGTATCATGTAGATAAAAATACTAAAACTTATCGACTACACTTTTAGAACAAAATTAAAATGCTCGAATTGTACTGATTGATCCCGACAAACCATAGGACATAAGAAMAATTTAAATTCAATTTCAATAGGTAGTTAACATTTTAAAATGTTTGGTATAACAATCTCACTTTACACAGGCATTTATGTTTTCCAGGATCGTTTCTAATCGTCGTTATATTCTTGTCTATCGCCGGCAACGTGCTGGTGTGCATGGCCATCTACACCGACAGAGGCTTGCGAAGGATCGGCAACCTGTTCCTTGCCTCGCTGGCGATCGCTGACCTATTTGTTGGGGCGTTGGTCATGACTTTCGCGCTAGTAAACGACCTGCAGGGCTACTGGATGTTCGGCGCCAAGTTCTGTGACATATGGACTGCCATAGACGTAATGTGCTCCACCGCATCCATACTCAACCTATGCGCCATATCACTCGACAGATACATTCACATCAAAGATCCACTGAGGCAAGTGGTGACTTAAATACCAGGATTTGACCTTAAAAATAATATATATATTTTTTAATGTGATAAAGAATAATAACACATTTAAAGTTTCGACCTTCCCTGCAAAAATAAATAAGCATAGCTGATACCTAATATAATTATTTATTAATAATAGCATATATATATATATGCTATATACATACATATTTAATATATTCTTTCATTCAAATTATTACACCTTATTAATAATAATGTCAATTATTGATTATTTTAACACTATTGTGACTCTTAAACATGTATTTTTTTTAATAATACGTTTATTCACGTATTTTATTCTCCTCGCTCTTCCCTTGAAAATCACTTGTATGAATATCAAGTAATTTATTTAGAYTACTATTGCAAACCGGTAACGGTGCTTCATCGATATCGTAAATCYACGTCGCACGTGCACATATAAATCTTATACAAATTGGTTCGACAAAATTGATTCCAAATAGGATACATCTCAGTACGAGACAGAGCTATCTAAATATCTTCAACTGTTTCCATTTTACTGTGAATATATATATACATATTATATTAGATTTCGGTTTTCCGAAATCCTTGTACAACTACTTGGGTATGACTASAGTGTAAAGGGTTCACGCGCGATATTATTATTGTCTCGAACATGAAAACGACAATGACATTTGCTTATTGGATGAGCTAGTTACGACTGTTTTATTTGCCATGTCATTTCTATATTATATATTTTATTTGTTGCTACAAATATTATTATCGTATTTTAAAATCATATACAATAAGATGTACCATATATTGCCATATTGGATACAAGATGGCAAGATGGATAGTTCTATTGAAAAAGCTATGTAGAAAAATTACAAACACATATATTCTATCTTTTATTTGCGTTGATTTAATGACTAATTCATAAAGCCAAGTAATAATAGACAAATTTCAACAAATAATTTTATGTTATTTTAAAATGAAAAATCATATTTTATAAGTTATATCATGGTTAACAAAATAAAAATCATGGCAACTACAGTTAGTTTGCATGCACGGGGTAATCGAGTGATTTATACAGTTAATATTTTCATTGCAAGAATTTCAAAGAATCCGTGAAAATATCATTTATAATATTGGGATGATAAAATTTTTACCGGTACATTTTTGAATTAACAATAATATAATATAATGACAAAATTATTATTTTTTTTAATATAAAAATTGAATACCGAGTGCTTTTATTTTTTAATAATTAAGTCGTTAACGCTATTATAGTAGGAATAGGAAACACTTGAGTATACAAGAATGAAACGTTGTAAATTAAACTACTGTTAATTTAAAACAATGCAACCTTGGTAATTATGATTTAGGTAATGAGTTGCTAAAAAATCYAGTTTTATTCTGCTAAAATATCAAAAATAATAACGTTATACGTATATAAAAATATATACGTATGATTTTTTTTTTTATAAATCTATGTAGGTTATAAAAATAATTAATAGATTCCGGGCGTGAAAAACTCTACGAGAAAAAATATATAAGCTACCACAAAAATATGCTGAAATATTTTAAAACTTTTTTTAACAACGTGCATATACACCGGTGTAAATTTAACGTACAGTGTAAAATAAACTTTAAGATGAACTTGCTAAGCTTAATTTAAGGAAAAATTATTTCAAAAGTAGTTTTTATACTTTATGAATGGCCTATGGGCTTGAGTATAAAGTAATTTAACGTATAAACTTACAGTGTATTTTAAAACGAGTAAAATATTATGTATATAGTTAGGAAGGTATCCAACGTTTTAATCCGTTCACAATTAATTAAAATAAACCAAAAAAATGTTACTTTAATCTAACTAATCTAAGACCCATTAGTCATAATAATATATTCATATCAATAATTTTCTACTCAGTGTTAGAATATCGTAGTTTTAAGCTTTTTAAACATTATATATATAGACTTACATTAAAATCTATTTCATTTATATTATCATTTCATAATATAATATTTTATTTTATGTACTTTAACAAAGTATAATATTTTTTTATCTGTAAAATTAAAAAATGTGATAATTATATTAATTTGACATCAATATTAATGAAGCCAATAGTGTTATTTAACAATATGCCTGGATCAATTTTTTAATATTATATGTTAARCTATAAACATCAATGTCACTAGTGAAATAGCAGAATGTTCGTACCATTTTACGAACTGATTTTAGAACAAAGGTATACATATAATCATATAAAAGTTATGTACGATCGTTAAATTTGATTGACAACTGGTAGCAGTGTGTAACATAATCGAAAGCCACAGGTTTACTCATGACTTGCTTAATCATATTGACGTGTTAAAATTCACTGCCGGTACCAAGTATCGGGACTACGCGGTTGGGCGAAGCATAGGGTGGATAACATTGATTTGAACCCAATTACGCGAGAAAGTTGATGAACGAACGTGACGGGCATAGCAACCCCCGGTGTTCGCGTTAGAGATAGTGAAATTAAATTGGAAAAATTGGTTGCCATTTTGACCTTAAATATATATATTTTTTTTTTACTTTATCCTTTGGAGCAATATACTACAATATACTACGTTTAATCTTTAGCGGAATTCGTTTAAAAACAGCAGTTGTCATGTACCATATAAATGCTTTCATCACGTGTTAAATTGACTATTATTCCTGTTGATAATGATAAAAATAAGTTTTTATTTATTTTAATAAAAATAATAATTATTATTTAATATTATGTGGATTTTACTCAGAAAAATATTTTCATTCAGGTCAAACATTTCAAACTTGTGGCATACCCTAAACTCTCTCCTAACCAGTTCTAAACCTTACATCCACCTTACGATTTTTCTTATTTGAATTTGATTTGACATACAAATTGTAAAGATCTATTTTTTTTTTCACTAATAATTTAAATAAGYACTAGACTTATTCACCTACCTATTCAATGAGTTTTATATTAAACGCTCGTTTAATAAAAATAAATWAAAGTTGTATAATATATTTTTCTATTCAATTTTTTTCAGTTCAGCCAATATTCTTATAGATTTACTTAGCTGGATTTAGGTATTAAGTTCAACGCATTATGGATTATTTATTATTATATTGCAATAATAATAATAATAATAATAATAATAGGTATACCTACCTATAATATTATAATCAATGATTGACTTTATTATTGCGATTCCAAAATGTAAATGTAAATATGTAATACATAATGTTGCAACGGAGATAATAGGTATCATATTATGTAAATCTGAAATCGAACACTATATTATTATTATTATTATAACTTTTGTAAACAAGATTATTATCATGGTTTKCCATAACATTAAAAATTCAAAGTGAAATATGTATGCTTTCATCAGACACGAGAACGATGTATTTTTCGACATATATGTATACACCCTGACATGACTCGTATAATAATTATTATTACATCACCCTTGCGTTATGTATACATAGTACRTACATTATARTATATAATATATTATTCTGTTTATCACAGTTATTTATTCCGATTGACCTGAAAACGCAATCCCGACGGTTTGCCAACCGAATTCAAAAGCTCTCTCTAGTTCCGAGTGACCGCTATAATTTTGTTTGTCGTAGTTTAAAAACACGTATGTCCTACATATATATACCTACCCGTCGCTTGCCGCCCGTGCCAGTTTTTTCCGTTAAAACCCCAAACCACAAAACTACCTTACTTTTGCGGTCACCACCGTACATGCATGTGCATAACGCATAATATATAATAATAGGAACGTTTAAATAACGAACGTCGCTTCACCCTTAGCGCGTTCAAAATTTAATATTTTATTATCACCACCGGAATTTTAATTCACCCTGCTGCATCCTCGGCAAATCGAATATCGATTTAGACATCGTCTTTGAAGTTTATACAATTTTGTACGAAATTCTCGTGACGTGAAAAGATCTCTGGAAAACCACACGGCGACAACTGCAGATGTGTATAATATAAATGTTACGGGCAAAGTATACAATTTGGGCATTTTATACATTGTCCGGACATTTTATACAATGGCCTTCGTATATTGGGCAATACAGTTGACGAATGAGATGATTTAATGAATAATAACATGTATTTGTATTATTAGAAAGTATAATAAGTTATTTTTAATTTTATTTTTACTTATTGTCGCACGTACTGCTACCATGACATTTTGATGTACCTACATCTAATATAACTTATAAATCAGTAAATATAGTTATAATATATTATGTTACGTACAGGCGTATAATGTATGGACAAGCGGACATCCCCATTGTAAAAATACGGGAAAAACAAACAAACTAGTGACATATAATAATTTGAGTTTATTTTAACTATGTTTTACGATTTATCATATTTCATTAAATCATCTCATCCGGTATCTATATTGCCCAATATACAAAGGGCATTGTATAAAATGCCCAATAATTGTACCTATACTTTGCCTGTAACATATATATATATTATGCACCTACTTAATATACAACTACTGCTTGCCTGTCTATAGTTAATTATTATTATTATTACTGTAGTTGGGTACGCATATCTGACCACCTCGGGACTAAACACCATCATGCCATTCGTACAAAACGCCATTTGCATTTTAAAGACGACCTCGAGATAAAACCTCACCGCCCTTATAATAATCTTCGAAATTTCAAACGTTCTTCAGCGACCCTACCGCGGAATAAGCTCATGAGACTTAAGATTTTTTTATATTCATCCGTTTTCAACCGTCTGCGTTTTTATGTTTCTTTGAAATTATCGTCGTGAAATTATTATAATAGGTTATACAACGTAAAATATATTATTCTTTTTATATATTTTAATACGAGCCCAACGATATCAGGATATCTCGTATTAACGCATGCTATCAGAACTCACTCAGTCATGATGAAAATAATATGTTATATAACATAAATATAATATACAACTTCGTATAATATTTTAAAATCACTAGTCAACCGTCATATTATGTGCACTCTCTTAAACGTCGAACATACTATATAGGTACCTCTATATTATGCTATTATTATTATGTTTTCCGACAATACGCTTTCCGTAAAAGCATAATAATATTATACATGCGCATAATATACGTGTATATATTATATTATAATATAATATTAAAATACCACAGCGTTCAACTCTCTGCACTTTATGGGGGTATAATATTATTATTACTATATGATTATGTCGTTATTAGACCTGCAGTGTATGTGCAGATGTATTATACGTGCACGTGTACATATAATATGTCCGAGGATATTTATAAAGGGTGCTATGCGGGGCTGTGGCAATGGTAAACTGGAACAGACTTCAAAGGACTGTGTATATTTTTTATGTATACGCTTCAATCGCATTTCACCGAAGCACAATCTGAATTACAGGATACACAAATGTACATCGCGTATAGCTTTTATACGTATAAGCTCTGCTGCTGTTATWATAATAATAAAAATATTTTATGAAAGTATATCATATAATAATAGCTTTTTTTATTCGTTTTATTTTTTCTTAAACGTTTTTATTCCACAGATAAACTGGCCCCGTGCGTATTTTAAACATTCGAAAACTTGTTCGTTATCGTGCACAGTACATTATTATAATTAATTAATAAATATACGACGAGAGCGTGCAGTCGTGCTTTAAATAAGTTAGRCTCTTGTTACTTTGGAATAAATTACTGTGTGTCCTACAATAATTTTTTTTTTTTAATCTTTTTAGGAATTTTCTGTCATAAATATATTTCTTAAATTATCATCCTTATGATTGTCATAACTTTTGTCATACGTTTAACTGCTAAGATGTTTTTTTTTTCGTTATTTTTATTATATTCTGTATATTAACGCTATTAATTTCATTGTTTATTTTAGAAAAGTTTATGAAACCCTTTTTAATTTTTTGTGAGACCTGAGAGGCAATTATATACGAGGGAGTTAGACTACCCGTTGTGTTTTTTCTGATGCGATTTTATAATTAGAACTTTACAATAAGTATAATTGTTATTACAGTTTYCCCATGCAAGTAYAATRCAACTTTCAGAAAACCCTAGGGTTTTTTGTTCCATATACTTCTCGCAGCTTTAGTTTTCTTCTCGGAGATATGCAATATCGTCCATACCAGCTGCTGCGACTTTTATGATGTAACTCAAAGACTATAGGTTCATRCCTACATTATTTTTTCTGCTCGAAATGGACTACAATAATTATTCTTCTTAAGTTCATTTACTTTGAATCAATAAATATGAATACAGTAAAAAAAAATGGAATCGCGTAATATTTTATACATTACACATTGTATAAATATTATTTTACTTCAGTGATATATTTGCCACGCCATCTGTATGTTCAAATTAGAACCATCACGGTGAACGGCGTTGTTATTCTATGATGACATAATTTTTTTACGAAATATTATACTCTAAATCAACGTGTCTTTTGAAAGTTAAACACTAACTTTTTATCATATGACGCTTTCATATTTTTACATTATTTCTGGTATTTCTATATAATATTACGTACAARTTATAGATTCTCCGTATTCAAAGAACAAAACAAAATTACTTCATCTGAAAATGGTTTTCTTAGTTTTAAAAAAAAAAAAACATTTTTAATGATTTTCTTAGAACTGTTGGTGCTTTTTTTATTTGTTTTTAGTACTTATTTCTATTTTTTATTTTATTTTTTAGTGCTTTATAAAACTACAAAATCTTAGTTCGTAGTATACAATAGGGTTAAAGTTACGTTGGCTAAAAGATAATTCATTGAATTTTTTTACGACAAAAGGTCGCATGTAGATAACGGTTAACAGAAATCAACGAACAGTGGTTAAATTAGGTCAGATAATATTATCATATCTGCTAACTTTCTACTTCAATATAAACGATTACATCTTTAGAGGACGACAAATATAATCAAATCCTGAACAATTATAAGTATACCACTCAAGTAGGTATAGAACGATTTGTAAATAAAACGGGTCTCAATTTTTATGAATCCATTTCCTCGTAAAGTCCCCCAGTATTTGTTTTTTTTTTTTATAAAAAAAATGTGAGTACCACTTGTGCATAAGTTTATAGGCTATAGGTACCTAAAGGAATAAAATATTATGTAAGCTCAACTAGTTTGATTTATAATTTTTTTTTTTACATTACTCAGAAGACTCCTCTAACAGACAGYTCAAATTAAATTCCATTTTTTTTACCGTTTCCTATATATTAAACACTTTTAAATTTTCTACGATAAATTACAATTAATGTTAATGATCAAAGAGGAACTTGAGTAAATACTATTAAATAAAATTGAACATTTTTGTTTATAGTTATRAGCGATGCAGCTTTGACGTACCAACTGGTAATATTTGTTCTAGGATGATGAAATTATGCTGTTGTGTTTTTGATATGAAGTTGTATGGAATTTAACGTAAAYTAAACCTTACATTTATCAAACGATTTCATCGAGGTTCTAGATACTTAATCAGATAATCTATATGTAGGATTAAAATCTCAGAAAGCATTATATTTCGATTATAATATTATTGCATAACTATATCCGCAGTCTATTGACGCTATAATGTCTAGTTTAAGTATAGATAAATGAAAATCATAATTTTTCTTCGATTTCACTCGAATTATAACAAGTAGTGTACTAAATAATATACGTAGATAATAGCGTTTAAAATTATAGAACTTAAAGGTGCGGCATCTTATACCTTGATTTAAGCACACGTCTGAAATATGCAGTGTTTTGGTTATATTAGGTCTTATTATATTACTCTTTATCCGATCTATAAGACGACAACTTGCTCGCGTCGAGTGCTTTATCAGCTCACTTGTTTTTATAGTTTCTAAATATAAAGATTATTCCATGCACCATCCAAACGACGTYCATAATGTAGCGAAGTCTCTCGCGAGTCACTTGGAACGACATAGCGCCTCCCCATCACAAATGTTACCCGAATCGCACATTATGTAGTACGATGTTCATATTCGTCGCGTTCGACAACGTTATTGWCCTACCTATTATATCAACTGATGTTCGTTGTGTTATAGGTACACGACGTACTTGAACCGGAGGAACGCGCTGCTCGGCATCGCTGGGGTCTGGGCGCTGGCCGCGTTCGTGTCCGTGGTGCCCATCTGCATACTGAGCATACACCGGCCGCCAAAACCGGTTGTGTTCCACGCGGGCGACACCGAGTACATGCGGTGCGCGCTGGACCTGACGCCCGAGTACGCCATCATATCRTCGTGCATCAGCTTCTACATACCGTGCGTGGTTATGATCGGCATCTACTGCCGGCTGTACCGGTACGCGCAGAAGCACGTGCAGAGCATCCGGGCGGTCACGCGGCCGCTGACCACGACGACGACCACGACGACCGGTGCGGCCGCGGCGTCGTCCGCCACGCTGACGGCCGTTCACCACCACACGTCGCCGTACCACGTGAGCGACCACAAGGCCGCCATCACGGTGGGCGTGATCATGGGCACGTTCCTGCTGTGCTGGGTGCCGTTCTTCTGCGTCAACATCATCGCGGCGTTCTGCAAGACGTGCATACCCGAGGCCGCGTTCAAGGTGCTCACGTGGCTCGGCTACTCCAACTCGGCGTTCAACCCGATCATCTACTCGATATTCAACACCGAGTTCCGGGACGCGTTCCGCCGCATACTCACCACCCACTATCCGGACTGGTGCTTCTGCAAGGGTTACCGGACCGTGGTGCTCAGCTCGGACGCGTCGTTCCGGCACAACCAACGGCGGAAGCCGACCGGCGGCGGCTGCGATTTCGTGTCGTCCGCCTCGGCCACGGCCGTCGTCGCCGCGTCCACCGTCGTCAAGCACAACGGCAAGGCAGCCGCCGCGATGGCGTCCGCGCAGCAACCGGGATGCGGTGCCGTGGGCGCGCCGTCGATCGCGAGTCCGAGATCGTCGGTGGCGTCGCTCCGCCAGTCGCGGCTCAACTCGTCGGAAAAGATCATCATCGAAGCCGACGAGGAGATCTGACCGCCCCGCGGTGGCTGGCAACCGCGCGACGACATGCCTCGTTTCACCGTCGAGTATCTCGTCTGAACGACAATATTTGTAGAAACGCACATACGTGTCGTACAATATTATTCGGTTAAATTATTATGATGTAATAATCTATAATATTGTATTATTCGTTCAAAAATCATTAATCATTATTTATACAATTAATAATATATTATCATGATCCCTCATTCCACGGTCCGGCGTTCTATACCCGCCATGGTTGTATACCGCTAACAGGACAGGAATC